TTATTTTGAATTTAAGCCCGTATTTGGTTTAGATAAAATTCAGCTTTTAATAATTTTTTATAAAATTGATGACATGTGATTAAAAAATTAAAAAATCTATTATTTTTCTGAAATAGAATATTGTCATGTTTCAAAAATGCTCATTTTCAAGTAAGTTGTTGTTTGCTGGATTTTGAGGTGAGAAATGAATCAAATGATACTTTTGAGGTTGCTACCACTCATATCTCCTCTCTCTTAAATAATTATTAATATTCCTACTTTTGATAATACATTCCTCATGTCAAATCGCAATGTGCTGACTGTTCAACCAAAAAAGCAGAAGTCTATTGGATTTAAGCTAAAACTAAAAAAATTGGAAAATTGCCTAAGATAAGAAATAATCTGATCGGTTCTTTCAAAATTTTCAATTTGATTGATTTTAGTTTCTTTTTGACTCTTTACCTTTTATTTTATTTTTTTTTCTGGGCGAATATTCAAGTTTTAAAATATAATATGTTGCCACGTGATGCAATTTGAGTGGTAGTTTGGCCGGTTGTTGGAGTTGCGGCTGAAATTGTAATTGCGTGGTCGGAAGTACGTAAACATTTTGATCTATTCAAATTGATGAATTCAACTCCGTCCAAATCTTAACAATCCTGAAAATAGAAATTCAATTACAAATTATAAATTTGATCGATGTTTGGTGGGGATTAAAATTTAAAAATTAATAATTAATTTTAATTACATATTTTATGGAATTCATAATTTTTCAACTACTCTTTCGTCAACTTTTATCACAATCTATTAAAAATTCGATTTTAAAATCCACCAAACATGGGCTTAGTTTGGTCAAATATTCGTCGGGATTACGACCGATCTAATCAAATAACACAATCGATGAATTTTATCACGTACAAGTATGATGAGTCGTGCGAGTTCTCGAAGTGAACCCGATAAAAATATTTTTGTTTCGTAAACTATAACTTCTCATGTTAACTAGCGTCTCTATATGTGTAATGAAATTTTTTGTCCATGAATCAATTTTTAAGAATGAGGAAGGAACATAGCCTTGGCTCATTGAGTTTGGCCGGTGACCGTGTAAATGTGATGCTGCGCTATAGAAAATGAGAAATAGGGGGTTGTCAATGTCTATTATTATGCTCAAAGAGAAAGAGAGGCTCGGTTACATATTGGTAGAAATATCGACATGGAACACTTGTTTTTTTAACCAACAAAACCATGTTGGTAAATTTCAGTTCGATTTAGAGCTTATTTGACAATCATTTTGTTCGGAAAAAGAGTTTTGAATAGTGACTTTAAAAGAATGTCTCGTCTAAAGACACGGAAAAAAATTTGGTGCACGTATATTTTAGTGTGTATATATGGGGTCGAAAATTGTCTTATAACAAATAAATTAAAGAGGGTCAAAATAGACACTTGAATGTATTAAAAATAAGACACGTGTCAGGTTTTTAAATGCAAAATATAATTCGATTTATACGGAATAAACATATTGAACAACAAAACAAAGGAATAATTTATTTTCCAATCTCTGAGCGAGATTGTTCAACAATTGGAGTAGGGTCATTTGCATGTAAATTCAATTGCCAACTAGTTTGGTCTTGTTTTGGAGTTGGAAGGTTGAAGTTTGACCATGAAACACGTCAAAAGGGAAACCAATAATACAAGTCGGTGGAGGAATTTGGCTGGGGTACTTAGCCTCTATTTGTCGGTAATAATGTTTTAAATGATGTTTTTGTAACAAAATGTAATGTATAGTTAAAAAGTTGGGAAAAATTTTAGGCCATGTTTGATATGGCAAGTTTTTCATGGGAGATGGAAAACATTTTGCTATTTTTCACTTTTTAAAGTGTTTGATAGGAAACATTTTGTAGGTAATTTGTTTTTAACATTTTTTTTTGTTTGCCAAATTTTCTTACTTTTTGAGGTAAATCAATTTCCACCACTTTGGTGGGAATTGGTTTTTTAGGCAGTTTTTTTATTTTTTTTTAGCTATGGAAACAAATTATATCTCCAATTATAACAAATTATATCTTTTTAATATACAATTTTCATGAAAAATAAAGTCAAGAGAACACCAAAAGATCTAAAATTTTAATATTTTTCAGGTGAAAAATTATATTAATTAAATACAATTAATTGACAATTTTCAGTAAAACAAGTTTTAGACAATTCAATTTCATATAATTCATTTTTTTTTTTACTCAAATTCCATTTTTACAATCAAACGGACTCTTATGTTCACGTGTTGAATATTTCATTGTGTAAATATATGATTAAAAATAAGTATATAAAAAAAAGAGTTTGAAAATAATGATAGTCAGAAAATAGCTTACTAAGCCTCGGTTTGATGAGCTTTTTTTTTGTTTTGAATAGTAATTTTTTGAAAAATGTATAGTTAAAATGTAGAAAAAAATTTAAATTTACGTGCAAAATATTTTATTTTGGACGTACGATTAAAAATGATTATAAAAATTAAATAATTTTGTTTTAAAAGAAGACAAACCAGGGCTAAGAAAGTGAGATTCACGAAATCGCAGACATTTCAAAGGTGTCATTAAAAAATTAAAAGGAAAATTGGAAATTTGACACATTGAGTCTCTCCATTCTATTCTAATTCACTTTTTTGGAGTATTTGAAATTTTCTCAACTGATCACGAAACACGCTGTTTGCCTGTTTCAAAGAGTATAAACAAGTAGTTTTGACTTTTAATAAAAGTATTAGGAAAATTAAAAGACAATTATAGAGACATTATTTTGTGTATTAGACACCCCAAAAATGTTTTGATTATAAGTTATATATATAATCTTCAAAACCCAAAAAAAGTAGTAAGTAGTACCTAAACTATAATATAAACATAAACTTGATCTGAACTAGTTACACTTCTTTCCAGTTCTGTCTCCTACACGTAACCCTCCCATCGAACCTAAGCTAGTCTCTCGCCTCTGGCCATCGGCCATCCTTTACATAGTCCCTCTTTCTATAAGTTATGATAGGAAAATATTGGTTCGGATGAGATGAGAGTTGCGTATGGAACGAGAAGGAAGGGGAATTGTTAGAAAGAGAGGGTTTGGTTTCGGAATTCTTTTTATTCTTATATAGGGTACTACACATCTTTTATGAAATAACTTCTAAAATCATAAAGAAAAAATTTGATGTGAAAAAAATACACTAAATTTTATTTAAAAAATAGCAATAACAAAATCTGTATCGACTATCGAAGCACGGGTAATTAGACGTAATGGGGTCCACAAATTTATTGACCAATAAGTTGAGAAGCTTTTTCATTCCATGAATCATGAGTTTGGTTGGCTTCCCAACCACGTGTACAGAGTACTAATTGTGCCACATTATAGCATTCAACAAGTAACTAGATTAAAGTTACCTGTCTTATATTAGGAAAGTGTTCGATAGAGATTAAAATCGAATTAAAATTGAAAAATCAATCGTTATTATTGACTTTTATTAGACGAGCGGGACCAATAACGACTATATTTTCAATTTTAATTTTAGCCAAACATGCTATAAGTGCTTGTTTGGTAGAGATTTTTTGGGGGGAAATTGATTTTTGAATAGTAATATGATGAGAAATGCGTGGTTGAAAAAGAAGAAAAAATTATTGATGTGATGGAAAATATTATTTTATTGAAAAATGTGTGATTGAAAATGAGAATTAATTTACTGTACAATTTGAGAATAAAAAACAAACTGACCGTAATAATGCTACGGTGATCCAAATTTTGTTTGGCCCGGATTCGAAAAGTTCGTAGTGCGAAATTTGTAATGAAACCAATAATATAGGAAAAAAATGGGGGGTATGGATTGGTTTTATTAAGACTCCATTATATGTTAGGGTTTCATTGTATTATACATATCCGGAGTAGTCGTACCTCTTATAATTATCTTTGTTACATCACGTAAATTTTGTGTCCTTATTTTTATTTTATATATTATCAATTCTCGATTTTCAGATAAGAATAATGCTATACATCTATCTAGATGACAATTAAGTGACATTAATTTATATATCATCTTTAATTGGACATATCAAGTGTTCTACCACTTGTGTTGCTAGATAACAAATAATGTCGTCATCCAAAATTTAGATGATCATTGATCATTTGGTAGTGTGATTACTACTACATTATTCAATGAATTAATTTTGAATATGTTATTAAACATTAGACAATGTGACAGTAACAACATTGTCAATCGATTAATATATAATTTCTAGAATGAAATTTTTTTATTCAACATAACTAGTGCTTTGCTCCAGTTTAGATATTCATTCCGTGTCCATAAAGTTTAGACATCTTAAATGAAAAGGGTGTTGGGTGTTTGGTGATGAGTAAAATTAGATTTTTAGTGGATTGAGATAGAAGTTTTTGAAATGTGTGGTTAAAAAATGTGGAATCCATGAAATATGTGGTTAATATTGATCGTTTGACTTTAACTTGAATTAAAATCAAATTTTAATTCAACCCAAACAGACCCGAAGTATATGAATCATATTTATGATGTCTAGTCATTTATAAAAAAATAAAAAAAAATTAATGAATTATTAGCTCCCATTTGGCTCTCATTATTCTTTATTAAATTATAATTTTTTTCTCTTTCTTCTTATTAATCAGCTATTCTCTAATAAAAGAATATTACACGTAAATTTAAAAATTTATTTTTATTTTTTAACAAAGTATTTCAAAAAATAATTACTATTTTTCTCGCTGTAACGCGGAATAACAAGGGTCAAATAGACCCTAACATCTGCAACGAGTAACAATAGTCTTATTCTAAAATAATAAATAATATCCAATCACAGACCATGTTGTAAAGGTGTAAAAGGGCCCCACACTTTTTCAAACTCAGGTACTGTTATTTCTGCCTATTTATACAGACAGGAGTTGGTGCAACTTTATAATTCAACTAGCTTTCATTTCTTTCTATTTCTATATCGGCTCTCTTACGACAACAGAGAAAAAGTAAAAACTTCTGTAAATCCATGGCTTCGTCTTCTTTAAATTTCTCTACTCTACACCTGCAATTTCCTTCATCAAAATTATCTCCTCCAAAACCCTTCAAATTTGAGCCCACTCTCCACCGAACCAAAGCATCTGTATCAGAAAAACTATATATTGCACCACCGGCTCCACCGCCTTCAACACCACCGGCGACGGTGGTGGTACCACAACCCAAGAAGCTCCCAATCCGTAAAATCCCAGGAGACTACGGGCTTCCCTTTATCGGGCCATATGTAGACAGACAAGACTATTTTTATAACCAGGGAAGAGATGAATTCTTCAGGTCTCGAATTCAGAAATTCAAGTCCACAGTTTTCAGAACAAATATGCCGCCGGGTCCTCTCATATCATCTAGTTCTAAAGTAATAGTCTTGCTCGACGGAAAAAGTTTTCCGGTCTTATTCGACACGGATAGAGTCGAAAAGAAAGACTTGTTCACTGGAACTTTTATGCCGTCGACTGAACTCACCGGAGGCTACAGAGTTCTTTCGTATTTAGACCCATCTGAGCCGAGCCATGCTAAGTTGAAAAAAGTCATGTTCTTTTTACTGTCTTGGCGTCGAGATAAAGTAATTCCTGAGTTCCAAAACTGTTATATTGAGTTGTTTGAGAATTTGGAGAGAGATTTGGCCAGCAAAGGGAAAGCCAGCTTCGGGCAAGCCAATGATCAAGCTGCGTTTAATTTCTTGGCTAGATCGTTATACGGTGCAAACCCGGCTGATTCCAAGTTGGGATCCGACGGACCCAAGCTGGTTAGCAAATGGGTGCTATTTCAACTGCATCCATTGCTGAGTCTTGGTCTACCTAGACCAATAGAAGATGGGTTTCTTCATAATTTCTCTCTGCCGCCATTTTTGATCAAGAAAGATTATCAGAGATTATATGATTTCTTTTACCAGAACTCGACTCCGATTCTTGAGCAAGCCGAGAAAATGGGTGTATCACGTGATGAGGCTTGCCATAATCTCCTCTTCGCCACGTGCTTCAATTCCTTCGGCGGCATGAAGTAGAAGAAGGGGTTGTACGAGTTTAGGGTCGGCCGAGCAGGGCTCAAACTACACACAAAATTAGCAGAAGAAATCCGATCAGTCATCAGATCAAACGGCGGAAAAATCACGATGGGTGCCATGGAACGCATGCCGTTGATGAAATCAACGGTGTACGAGGCCCTCCGCATCGAACCACCGGTTCCATCCCAATACGCCAAAGCCAAACAGGATTTCATAATCGAATCTCACGATGCAGCTTTTAGAATCAAGGAAGGCGAAATCCTATACGGGTTCCAACCATTTGCTACAAAGGATCCGAGAATCTTCGACAGGTCCGAGGAGTTTTTGGCTGACAGGTTCGTTGGTGAAAATGGGGAGAAATTGCTGAAGAATGTTGTATGGTCTAACGGGCCGGAAACGGAGAGGTCGACCATTAACAATAAACAGTGCGCCGGAAAAGATTTTGTAGTGTTGGTTTCTCGGCTGTTACTGGTGGAGCTGTTTCTCCGCTACGACTCGTTTGATATTGAAGTGGCGGCGTCGCCGTTAGGTGCCTCCGTTACTTTGACGTCTCTTAAAAGAGCTTCCTTCTAAACGGCGTTACTCTTCATTGTAGGGAAAATAGGAACTCATTGCATAATTTGTACGTTTGTTTTTAATTAGCTGAAAGGAAATTGGTCGTCAAATTTGGTTTATAATTTAAAATTATTAATTTTGCAAGTCAGTATTCAATCATCCAAATTGATTTATTTTTATTTTTCTTTTGTTTTTATTAAACTATTGTGTGACTAATGAAAAAATGATTTAAGTGCCTAGGTATCAAATCAAGATAAGAATAGAAAATTCATAATTTTGTAAAATTTTCCTTCTTGACAAGAGTAGTGCTACATGTATATAACCATTTACATAATGATTCACATAATTACATGTGGCATGTGATCCAACTTTTAATTCAAATTTCATATTTACACATCAACAAATGGATGATTGTCAAGTCAGTATTATGTGAATCATCATATGATTGGTTATGTACACTTAGCATTATTCTTTTGACAATGACTAAATAGCGAAGCCACTTATGATCATTTCCTAAAGAATGTCTTTACCTGGAGCTAAGTAAATTAAGCGAAGACATTATCGGGGGATTTCACTCAAAACGAATTGAGTCCGATCTAGCTAATTGTGAAAGGATCATCACTACGGAAGATTATTCTTCTAATCTTATCCAATTTTCAATCCACCCAATTAATTGTTGGCACGTTATTTTGTGTGAGAGAGTATTTTACAACGTTAAATAGTTGTTAAGATGAAAAATTAAAATTGATGATATGTTAATTTAAATTAATATGTTAAAAATTGATTTGGTGGACAGCAAATTGGACAATAAAAATTAGACAGTAGATCTCAACTCTAATCTTAGATAGGTCGTTTGGGAGTCCGTCATGATTTGTTGCTATAATTACACAGTAGATTACCCTTTTAAAATTGATCATTTAAAGATAATATGACGATTTAATAGAAATTTGAACTAACTTTTCTTTTTAAACCTTAAGAACAAGTTTGCTAGATCAGCAATAAGTTAGGATTGTGTACTTTTGGTTTAGCGCTCGTTTGAGGAAATTTAAAAAGTTTAGGTCAAAATTAATAATTAATTTTAATTATACATTTAATAATGAGATTCACAATTATAAAATCTTTAACCACACATTCAACAATTTTTTTCAAAAAACTTGGTCAAACAACTCATTATATTAGACTTCACAGATTTATTTATTTTCCTTCAGAGAGAAATGTATGAATTGTACATGTTGACTAATCTTTTAATCAAAGTCAAATGAGAATTTTGAGACTGCGCCTATATTTGGTTTAACCAAAATGATGATAAAATTATGCATTGCGTGTCAAAATTCAGAAGGTGTTGAAAAAATCAAAGGCTTTGATGGGTGTCATGTGGAATGTTATCAAAGTTAATATAAAAAATAATGTACATATATCATATTTGTAAAATTATAAGCTAAATTCAATAATTAATTTTAATCATACATTTCATAACATTTACAGATTTCTCAACTTTCCAAGCATATATTTCATCAACTTTTATCAAAATATATATTTGCATCAACATTTCATTGACCTAATTTCGACTCTTGTAAATTCAGAATGTAGGCATAACCTCTCACACACTTCTCATGCCATATAATTCATCAAATCTTACAATAAAAGAGATACACTTCATCATACTTTTTGGAAAATTAAGAGACAATTATAAGAATTCAATCATTCAAAAATCCAACATTGGTTTTTGGGTAAAGAAAAGAAGATGCAACTAGAGATTAATCAAGAAATCATTGAAAAGATTCAATATTTAAATATTTATTTTCTTTTTCTTCATTTATCAATTATCCGAAAGATGTTCTATAAATTAAGCATAATTTCTTCTAATTTTGCAATATTAGACAAGATTTCCATTTATTAAGGCATAAATGAACTCTTACCATGAAGTTTTAATATGAATTCAATGTTTTGACGCCCACTATACCTGATTTCTTGGATGATTGTTATTGTATTTAATGCATTTCAATTACTTGATAACAAATTGGATTGTTTTTTGAATTTTGTTGTTATCGTGAAAGAAAACAGGATGGATAGCACTATCAAAAATTGTTGTGAGGCCCGATATATACATATGCTTTGCATGATTTCAGTGGATGGTCTAGGGTTTTTAATACATGTTTTCATGTTCACATCTTTCTTAAAGATATAGAAAAGTCACATGAGATGATATATTTAATTCCACTTGAGAGATATTATTAAATAATTTAAGAACATTGATAAACAAGAATGCATACATATTTTCATGATATTGAATTGTATTAAAATATAGTAATGAGGGGAATTCGAAGTCTTAGTAATCATCTCACTTAATTTCACAAAAAGCTCTCTTATTTTACTCATTAGAATAGTTAGTTTAATTAGTTAGTTAGTATAAATTATTCATACAAACTTGATTATTCGATTAGAGTTAGTGTTTGAAACATAATGCGCATAGAAAATCTAAAAAAACCATGTGCATGAAATAGAAGAAGCATTACATGTGTTGATTAAGGCTCAAACACTTGAGAGAATTAGATTTTTAACAATTGATTATTATTCTAGTTAAGATTTAGAGGTTGAAGCAATCAAAATTGGGCAAATCCTTATTTGTTGGAATAATGACTTATAATTAATGAAATCTATCTAAATAAAAGATGATGATTAATATAAAAATTCAACTTTAGATCAAATAAAGAGTTAAAAGATTAAATTTGGATTTGTGTATATTAAATTTGGATTTGTGTATATTACGAATGAAAAAAGATACATTTGACAATTGGAAGTCAGGAATTGAAGCAATTCATGAATTTAAAATATTTTACTTGATTCTTTACACACATGTCAATTTTGTTTTAGATAAGTAGAGATTGGTTTTAGGATTGTGATTTGAAGTTGTTTTTGAATTTAATGCAATAATTTCAATCCTAAGATAAATGATAGGTTATCTAATAAAAAATATATTTTAGGCTTGTTTGTTGAGATATGTTATAATTTTGTTTAATGACAAAAAAAAATTCAAATTTGAGAGTGTTTGATAAGTGTACGAGTTTTTATGATTAATTATGACATAATCTCTTGTATATTTCGTTTGTTAGGTAAAACTCGATAATTAGAAGTGAAATTGAAAGAAATGAACAAAAATCGGTGAAATGAGAATTTTCAAAATTTAGGGACTAAAGTGAAAATATTTAATAGTAAGGTTGGACCTTAAAACTTCGATTGAAGACCTTACGGAATCAGTTATGTGAAATTAGGTGCCTGTCTGGGAGAAATTTTTCACAAATTTTGAGTACAAATCTTACTGTTATACAGGAAGTATTTTGACCAAACCAAGCGAAATTTTAAAAATTGTACGAGACAAGCACTAGAAGTCAAATGCTGAAAATTGTACGAGACAATGAGTCAACTAAACGAAGAATCAAAACCGGGGTCCAAAACGAAGATAATGAAAGATTGCAAGGCTAAAGCACGCGCCACCTCAAGCGACACGAATGCGAGACCTGCAATCACCAATCCCATGATTAAAATCCACCTTAGACACGTGCATGTGGCATGAAAATCGTCAGATGGGCAAGTTTTCCTTTTTATTAAGATATAGATGGATCCTTATTATGAAATTTTAATATAAATTTAATAATTTTGCACCCAATATGCATGATTTCGTGGATGATTGTTATTGTGTTTATGTCTTTTAATTATTTGATTACTAATTGGATTGCTTTTTGAAATTTATATTATCGAGAGAGACAATATGACAGAAAACATCATTAAAAATTGCTGTGAGATCCTATAGATATAGATATATACATATGTATTTTGCATGATTTTAATAAATGTTCTAAGATCTTTAATGTATGCTTTCAAATTCATATGCTTTCATAGAGATGTATGAATGTCATATAAGAGGGTATATTTTATTACACTGGAGTGAGATTATTAAATAATTTTGGAACATTCATTAACAAAAATGCATACATATCATGATATTAGATTGTATTAAAATGGAGTAATAAGGGAAATTTAAAGTTTTAGTAATCACCTCACCTAATTATACAAAAATCTTGTATAATTGCACATTAGAATAGTTCATTTAATTAGTATAAATTATTCATGCAAATTTGGCTATCCGATTAGAGTTAGAAATAATTGATTCTAGATTAAGTACATTAGTCATAATGAATGTGATACTTTACTGATTACTTTATTACTTGTTCATGATATCGCGTGCTTATGAGAATTCATAAGATCACAGGACCACGCATCAACCTTTGCTATCATATGGTATTCGTGTCCATCCTCTGATAACCTTTAATCTTTTCCAATTATCTCTGTATAATTACATTCCACTTCTGGATATGTTGGATATAGAATAAATACGATGATAACAAAGTGTATATGAGATTGTACATAAGGTCATTCTTTATTAAAGGCCAACTACGTCGATCATAAATTGTACCATGAGTGCTCACATATAAATATGCGTAAATATGAAGTAACTTGGTTGGCCAACATATCGATCATAGCCTTCTCAATTTTTTTTCATGATAGTTACATAGATTAACCCGTTATGTTCTCGTCATAAGACTGTTCCTGTGTAGTTATCCTTTTAAAATTTAACTAAAATATAGACCTAATTAACATCAAATTAAAGTGTATTTTTTAAAAAATCAAATTAAATTGTTGCTATCGAATTGAACAAAATTGAAATTTAGCATTTACACTTGACAACACATGCTCGAGATATCATTTTAAAGTAGGTACGATATATTAAGTTTCAAGTTCCATATTAAAAGATCAACATTATTAAGAATATTAGCACAAATCCTTATAAGTTGATCTATACTTTCACCTTTATTTGATGTAAGATTTTATCTCTTAACATGCTCCTACAAGACAATGACTCGTTTGAACAGATCAACCTGGGAATCCGTGTAATTGTTTTTGAGTCATAATCGGATCAAATTTCTCGTTGAAATTTAATGAGTTCTGATATAATATTA